AGTTGCGTCAATTTTTGTCATTTCTGACTGTCTCATCGTCCAGGACACAGAGCCACACATTAATATAGGAAATATTAGGCAGTGAACAAGCCTTTTTTTAAGTGTTTAGATATGTTTTTGTCTCGCCATATCTTTGAGAGTTTTGTACATCTTTATTTCTATAATAATTATAATGACTTAGAGCTCGTACGGCTCTATAATTGTAAGTAATATTCTACTATTTCAATTAATAAGCATACAGGGTGGCGCACCTCATTCGCCTCGGTTGATTATACGAAAACGGAAAGATGTAGAAACAAAATGTTTTATGGGTATATGTCGAGAGGCAATGTGCATAATTTAAAATTATATTCATATGTACAGGGTGTGTCAGAACTATGATCCATACCAAAGTTATATTTTTTCTTATAGAACACCCGGTATTTTATTTCATTTTTTGGATTCTTGGGCATAAAATAAGGCATTTATTATAAGGGTATAATATGTTTAAATGCTTCTTCTTCTTTATTACCCGGGTAATATATTTTTCGAAATAATATCAGTAGGTATAAATAATTAAGTAAGCCCTTCAATCATGAGTCCAATAATAGTAATCAAAATTATAAAACAAAAATTAAAGTAAAGGTATATTAAAAGCGGAGCCAATCGATATAGCATGGTAAGGAGATAACCAGCTGATACTGAATAAACTGTGATAATACTTCAGCATACTAGAGCATACTAGGGTATTAGCGTCTCCTACATTATGTACAATATAATGAGAGGACTTCAAAAGAATAATACACCAAATATTTTCTATACTTCTGACATATATTTTATTATAATTTAATTTATATAAAAATCTGACTAGTATAATAACAATTATGAATATAGACAAGATGTCTATATTCTTGTCTAACAGATATTAAAAAAAATAAATATATTTAATTATTGACAAATACATAATATATTATAAAATATTATCATTTCATCATTAAATGGGGCTCTCATACAATTATTTTAATGATAAAATATTTAAGACTTTTTTCATAACAGTAAATAGCGATTTTTTAAATAATTATTATATTTTACATTCTTTATGTATTTTTTTTATTTTTGGTATAAATTTTTATTATTCACATATTAAGTACATCTAGAATAACATATTCCTTCCAGTCAATATAATTAACCTAAACATTATAGTAAAAATGACAGTTTAGTATTATAACTATAACAGTCACAGACTAATTTAGTCTGTATATTACATACCGAGCGATTTATTCCTATCTAGAGATAAAATAAATTTCGATTTAGTATTGAGAAATGTTCCTCCAAGAGTTGTATATTGTTTTAATAACAACCACACCATTATTAAATAAAACTTAACATTAATAAAAAATATATTAATGTACCGACTTTTTATTAAAGAACATGTTTTTAGAAAATCTTACCACCCTGTATCACTGAAGTTAAGATGTGTAGGACATACACATATATAAAGTTTTTTTTCTTAGAATGAATAAAATATTGGCATGCATGTGATTGAAGAACACCATCTATATGCGGTTGTAAATAAAATTACCTGTTAAATAATTTATTACTGACAAAGAACAAATTCTGTCATTATATACAGTATGTTCTCTACTGATAGGTCTGTGTATATATGTATTTATTTTGTTTTACGTAAATGTTCGTTCTATGTTCTTCCTTTGCCTATGAATATTTTTTGAAGTTCTTTTGGCAATAATTAATCCGTCAAGCTTTTAAGGACAGAATGTCTTAATCGCTAATGAAATAGAGGAAGAAGTCCCGGGTCTCCATTGTGAAAATTAGAACTTGGAGACTTGGAGTTGTTACCAGTTGGAGAAATAAGTAGACTAATTTATATTCTCTCCTGAAAACATCGTGAAATAAGCGCTATTTTAAGACAAAAATAGAAGAATTTTGAGAAAAGAAACCGTTTTATAGTATATTTCACGTTACACGTTTCACGTTTTTGTATATTTCACGTTACACAAACTTTTTATTATACAAAGTGTCTATACAAATTATTTGTATATTTAAATATTTTCAGAAAAACAGAATTTGTTCTTTGTAACTAGAAAATTGTTTAATAAGCAAATATAGTCTGTCTAATGAAAGGGTCCCTAGCAATGACAGTTGCGCCTGTCAATTCAATTCACGGGCCAATTGTTTTTTCTGTCTTTTTCTAGATTTCGTCGGTCAAAATATTTTCTGGCTCTTTGGACAGATTTAATATTTACAATCACATACAGTATTTTCTCAGATAGTCTTCAAAAGAGGAAAAACTTTTTTGTTATTAATATTTTGAAAGAAGTGCAGTATTTAGAATAAATACATATACAATTTAGAAGAATATACAATTTTAGAAGAAACTATTTTAGAACACAAAATTTACATTCCTTACACCATGTGATGTACATTCACATGATTTTTAAAAACTTGAGAAGTTTTTAGTGTTTTTGAATGTCTAATCAGACATAGATATTTTAAATACTATTGAAAACACACAAGATAGAAACAGTATGTCATATAACGAACCAACAACATTAATACATTTATTTATTATTAACATTGATAACCTTAATTTTTTACAAAAAGTGAAAAAAATGGCATATACAGGTTAGCTTAAAATTATCTCACTAACGTATAGTATCTTATTTTTATGAAATAAATTAATATATTAATATATTTTAAGTTACTTATACATACTCGTACAGTTATAATACTAATTTTATTTAAGCTTATTACTTATTATAGTTAAAATTCCATGGTGCTTAAAGATACTTTTATTTACAGTACTATCACAGGCATAAAAAAGAAAATATAATTATATTATAACTAAAACTAATTTACTATATGATCAAAGAAAACGATTTCATAGTAAATGCAGTAACGGTGTTTCAGTTCGTATCATAGAAAAAAAAGAAAAAATTAAACACAAAATTCCTTAATTATTGTAGATATTAAAAAAGTTGCGTTGGTGATGCACACGTAAAAATAAAAATAAAATCGCAAATTTTAAAATTACTTTTGAAATACCATACGATCAAAAAAAAAAGCGTCAAAGGCGGCTGGGGAATGTCAATCGATGATAGTTTTGGCGAGGTCACACCATAGACGTGATGTACTTGACCCGTACTATTATTTATTTTTTAATGGGGCTTAGACATTGCCAGTTGGCTTTAAGAAGGTTGTAACTTATTTTTATATTAAGTAAAAATCATTTTTAAGGGTTATGTGAAATTCGAGAATTTTTTTAAACAGATTTTTGTGTCTGGAAACGTTCTATCAGTTTATAGTTCTTTTTATAGTTAGTATTAATTTTTGACCTCGCCAAAATTATCATCGATTGTCATTCCCCAGTCGTCTCCAAAGAGGACTCCGCATCGCTGAGAGATGGTGCAGGACTGTCGGGCTGAGTATTAACTCAGATAAAACCTCAGTAGTGCCATTCACCAGAAAGCGTAGTTTGAAAAACTTGAAAAGAATCCATCTAGATAGAAAAGAAATACTGCCATCACAGGAAGTGAAATAACTGGGAATAACCCTGGATAGTAAACTTCTCTGGAACAGGCATATTAAGAACATTACCAGCAAAGCCACAAAAGCTCTCATGATATGCCGAAGACTGACGGGAAATAGGTGGGGCTGCGCCCCTAACATTTTGCGCTGGATGTATACCATGGTAGTAAGACTCATGATTATTTATGGAGCAGTTGCTTGGTATACAAAACTAGAGCAACGTACAGCAAGGCAAAACCTGTGCAAAGTACAGAGACTGGCATGTATTTGCATCACAGGTGCCATGAGAACATGTCCAACAGCAGCAATGGAGACCATTCTAGACCTCACACCACTGCATATTGTCGTCGGTAGTTATGCCAATGCGACAATGATTAGAATGGTCATTGACGGAAACAGTACTGGGAGAATTTTCAGGTCATGGGCTTAGAACCCCTCAAAAAGAAAATTCCACTTCTCCAACTCCCAGTGGATGAAACACCTCACTGAAGTATTGAGTAATAAAAAGGATTGGAAGAAAGAAACGCTTGCTCTATATATAAAAGACCATACCATCACGTGGTATACTGATGCCTCCAAAACCAAAGCAAGGGCAGGAATAGGAGTATTTGGGCCGAAAACTAAATACTCCGAACCAATGGGCACCTGCCCCAGTATCCTTTAGGCAGAAATTTACGCTATCGAAAGATGCGTACAATTTATCTTAGATAGGAATTATCGAAAACAGGAAATTGACATCCTATCCGATAGTCAAGCAGCACTTAACGCGATCAACTCAGTAACCATCAATTCGAAGTTGGTCAAAGAATGCCTAGAGAAGCTCAACAAATAAGGCAAAGAAAATAAAGTCCTCCTACTCTGGGTGCCTGCTCACCAAAGGATAGAAGGCAATGAAAAAGCAAATGATCTAGCTAGAAAAGGAGCGAACACTCCACTAACTGGACCAGAACCGTTCTGTTTTCCAAACGGGAACCAACTGAAAGCGGAACTGAAGAATCTGGAAGACTCCATCCGTAACTTGGAATGGGTGTCCTCCAACGGTCTAAGACACTCGAAAAAGTTCCTCAGAACTTACGACCGAGAAAAATCAAAGGTTTTCCTTGATTTAAGTAAAAACAATCTTCGGATTGTCACGGGGTTTCTAACAGGACACTGTCTCCTCAAAGAACACCTCAGTAGGCTAAAACTGAGAAACAACGGCGAATGCAGATTTTGTGAGGAAAATGGGGAAACACCAGAACACCTTATCACTGAGTGCGCCGAGACGACGACCATTCGTGCCATAAACCTTGGTACGTCTGATGTCGAGGATGCAGAGCTGGCCTCTGTGGAGCCGTCTCAGATACTGGCTTTACTTAAAGCCCTGAGACTGTATGATGAGTTATAACTCATTATAACTCAAGAAAGGGGAACACACAATAGATCTATAAGGTCGCGGTGATTAACTCCCCTACTAAACATTCTACATTCCCCAGTCGTCTTTGACGCCGTTTTCTTTTTATCATACGGTATTTTTGGTATGCCCTAAGTTAACTTAAATTTGTAGTGGGTCCCATTCCCAGAACCAAAAATATAGTACATCAAAATTATATGTGATTCGATATGAAATATTTTTTTTAGTTCTTTAGACTTTTTAATAAAGTTCACAGCACCGAAGTGTTCACATCCGAATAAGTGTTTATAGTGTTCAGTTCGTCATTCTTCTATAAAACACTAACCATCTGTAGCTGCTATACCAGCGAAGTCTTCGTCTCTACAGCGTGTTCCTCCTGCAGGTTCCTGTTGCTGGTACGTTTCATGTAGAACCAGTTGGTGATGGCTTTGATGCGAAACATCTCCTCGAATGTCACTCGGAACTGACGGGACATCGTGCAATACAGGATGAAGTTGATCGATGAATTTATCAAGGCCAAAATGTCCATGATTTCACCTACAAAATTAAGAAAAAAAAATATAAAATTATCTAAAATTAATTTATCTAAATCAATCTTATATAATACTAAATCTAAACTAAATACCGAACCAATGAGCACCTATCACAGCATCCTTCAGGCAGAAATCTACGCTATCAAAAGATGTATACAACTTATCTTAGATGGGAACTATCGAAAACAAGAAACAGCCATGAGATCCGATATCAGCAACATTAAAAACGATCAACTCAGTAGCCATCAATTCGAAGTTGGTGAAAGAATGTCTAGAGAACCTGAAAAAATTAGGCAAAGAAAATAAAGTCCTCCTACTCTGCAGTCCAGCCTACCGAGGGATAGAAGGCAATGAAAAAGCAAACTATCTAGCTAGAAAAGGAGAGAACACTCCACTAAATGGACCATAACCGTTCTGCTTCCCAAGTGTAAACCGCCTTTAAGCGGAACTCAAGAACCTGGAAGACTCCGTCCGTAACCAAGACGGTCTAAGACACTAGAAGAAATTACACAAGACTTGCGACCGAGAAAGATCAAAGATTTTATATGATTTAAGTAAGAATAATCTTCGGACTGTCACGGGGTTATAAACTGCTCAGTTCAGGAAAATAAGAGAATATCAGAACACCCAATCACTGAGTGTCCCGAGACGATAACCATGCACGCCATAAATTTTGGAACAACTGATCGGAGATGGAGAACTATACCAGTATAAATCCTTCTCAGCCACTATATGATGAGTTATAACTCAAGAAAGAGGGATACAATAGATCTATGAGATCGCGGTGATTAACTTCCCCCCTCCAATACAATCTGCCATCTACAAAGATGACGGTCAAAAAATTATAATCACTATTAATTTCTGACTTCTCCCTGTAGCCCTAAGAGCGAACATGGCTACCACCATGATTAGAATCTGCGCACGTTCATGCTCATTCTCTCCACATCTATATCTCTGGCACAATACAAAAATAATTAATGAGAATTTTAATTGTATAAAAATAGGCTTTATGCTACATTTTCATGTTTTATTAAAATAGAAAACGATACATATATGAGCAAGAACAAAAGAATTTCAAAAACTTCCGCATTTTTTACGTGGTTTAAAATTCAATTAAATTCTACGAGTCTCTCGGATAAAAATAAACGAAAATAAAAGTAGGTTCGCATTTTTCTTGTTTTATTATAGCTAATAACTTGTTCTCAGCCGGATTGTGCTTTATTAAATATTTTTATCGGAGAAACGAGATTCTGAAATAAAAACATTATAATTCCGTTCTGTTAATTTACTTATAGGATAAGATTAAAAAAAAAGAAAAACCCCGCAGAAAAGGGTAAAACAAAAGCTTTTTAAATAAAATTAGGTATATTAAAAATTATTCAATATTATTTTTAGAAATTGCAACGTGATTAAAATTAGTAGAAAATTGTTTTCGAATTGAAAAAAGTTATTTTTAACATCAAATTGATAAACAAAAATGGAATGTTACATTGTAAAAACAGTTCTAATTATTCATAAATTAAGGAACTGAAGTGAAAATAGAAACATGTCAGCTCTAACAGCGTTTTATAAATATTATTGATAGTGAAAAATTGGTTTTCTGATTACAGAGGAAGTTGAACACAAATTAATTTTGAATACTAAAATAGGAGAAATTTACAAAACTACCAACTTTAACAAGATACGATAACTTCAATTTAATAGTTTAATATTATCTAGATAGACATGTAAAAGATAGACTAAACAAATAGATTGTGATTTGTTTTGACCTAACATATACAAAGAAAATGTCAACAAATCGTTTCTTTATTTACAAATTGATTTGGACACAGACTTAATAACTTAAAATGTATTTTTCAAAGATTTAACAACGTGTTAAACCCTTGAAGTATGATGCGGTTTGACGCTGCGATGCCTCGATGCTGTTCCTTAATGTGATTCTTTAGTTCGTTTATTTCACCCTCGGTATTTTTTTACTTTATTCGATAGAAAATGACACTCTAAATCGAATGACATATCATATGTCAACTTTTGACATTTTCGCATATTATTATGATTTATTTCAAATTATAACATGCGGTTCATAACGACAATTTAACTCGAAATACCAAGTGTATGGTACCAAATTATTCGTAAAAAAATGGTTTTTCCAAATATACTAATGAGCCACCCTCGTTCCATTTGAAAAAATTGAAATATGATTAAAAAAACGATTTGGGCATCTTTGAACCGGCCAGGACAAGACACTAAAAAAACATTAGACTATCAAATCTATTTTACCAAGGCTCCTTGATTAAAAATTAGTGTTTTTAACACAGCCGTGAAACTCTAGATTGAAATTTAAAATACAATTTTGTTTTAAGCGAAAATGTCAAAAGTTGACATTTGGCACGTCATTCGATTCAGAGTATCATTTTCTATCGATAATATAATAATAAATAAAAAAATACCGAGTGTGCCATTTAAAAATCAAAAGTTGTAGTCATTTCCGGTGAAACAGGAAAACAAATGAATACGTCAATCAATCCTAATTTATGACATATACTAACATACCAAATCTCGTTTTTTCTCTGAAAAAATAAAAAAAGTTATTGGGGTGAGCCACTTTTGAGACGCACCCGGTATATATATTTTTGTATGTTTCTTTCTAATCAAAGACAGCAACATGTCTGTTCTGTTTTCTTTCCATTTAAATTAAATAATATAACAAGAGAATTGTTTTTTTTTTCTTCTCTGTAATATCTTATTGTTTACCGAATATATTTCCCATTTTCCAAATAAATTAAAGCTGAGAAACGCCTTCATTTTTTTACTGCCGAATATCTTGTATTTTATAACAACAGATATTGGGTTCCTGTGTTTACATTATTTTTTTTCAATTTATTTTATGATTTTTCTTGAGTTTATTAAGGGAGTTAAGTACATTTTAATTACATTGTTTTTAATTAAAAATAAATTATTATTCTTTTCTTATTTCTTACTTTTTTTCGTTAAATTTTTTAGTCATATGCAATTAATAAGTAATTAGAAGATAACTGTAATGATATGAAAGAATAAGTTAAATTCAGAATAACAGTGCATATAATTTAGGCAAAGAAACGTTGCTTACCCCAGGCAAAATCATAAAATCTCTCTCATTATAACTCATTACTCATCCGTATTAGTAATATTATAATTCCTCGACCTTTTTTCGATTCTTAGAATCGCCTGAAAACTACTCGTGAGGGCGTGGGGGATTTTTTGGGCATTTCTTGTTGCCTCGTTCAATTTTGTTTCGTTTTGAGCTATTTCCTAAATATGGCGGTATCTGTACCCAAGGCAAAGAACTTTTTTTTCATAAATCTCAGTGAAATAAGTAAACCTAAACGTTTCTGAAATAGCTGTAGTTACGATGATATTTCGTTAATTACATCTCGTTTTATGTTGATACATATTCCACAAAATTAATATTTGAACAGGCGTTTATAATATGTATAGTAGATATTTAAGAACAAAACTTTTCATTTAAACTTAAGAAATATAATTACAATATTTTTATGATTTAATTTTATTATAATGAATTAGTATATAAAATTGTATATATGTTTGTTTACGGGTTAATTGATTAATATAAGAGTAGTATTGCTTGATGAGTAATACTGGTAACATTATCAATATATCGAGCTGATTGGGAAAATTATTAATTGACCCGATGTCAACAAAAGTATGGTCCACGGACATTTTTTTAAAAGCGATGTTCCTTTACTGTTCTTAAGAGAAATCTGTAAACGATACTTTTAGTAGCACCCAGCATGGTTTGATATAAATCTATAATAGACGAACTACTCAGTATGCTATATTATACAGCGTGTCTTTACAATAAGAGTCAGTATTTTTACAGAAAGTATATTGGCACAGAATCACGCATGCAACGTTTTTTTTCGCCAAAAAAATTTAAATATTTATATTTTTTGACATTTCCTTGAAAATTAAAAAATATTTTTAGTGCCACAGATTCATTCTCTCTACTCTGGGTAAGTCAAATAAATATTTTAAGAAATAGTTTAGTATTATTACGATTTAGTTTAGTAAAAAAACAAAATGTCATCAAAATCAATATAGATTTTCCAGCTAATATAATGCAAGGTTGAGAAAAAAAAACATTTAGTGGCATCCTTAAAGTGCTATTGATTTATACCCCTGATGTTTTTCTAAAGAAAAGCCAATGCTAAAATAAACTGATGTTTCGGAAATTATTCTCACATGTCAAGGGAAGTATTTTTACATTAAAATACAAAGTGAAATAAAGATGAGAATATAAAACAACATATATACACATTCGTAAATCTTTAATGATGTTTGTGTTTGTTTACGAACCAGCATTTATGATTTTTTTTGTATGTGTCGTCGTTTGGGAAACGTTTAATATCGTTGTCTATTTTAAAAATCACAGAGAAAATGCTAGTTAAGTTATAGTTTAGTTAGAGATACTTAAAAAAGTGCACTACATCAATAATCATTTTTCGTATTATATTAATGCTTCTGAAATATAGCAAGATATTTTTATAAGACACGCATAATGGATGCTATACTCTATCAAATCTATAATTGTAGAGAGATGAATATAACATGAGACACAGGCGCCAAAGTAAATATTAACAATGTAAATATTATAATAATAAACAATAAAAGAAAAATGAAAAATGTTTTTCTAATCCAATCAAAGGAAAATTCCACTCCTCTAACTTCCAGTGGATGACCAAGCATGTACAATTTTGAGATCAAGACTACTTCTTAGACTGCAAGACCAAGAGAGACCAAGATAAGTTTTGGTCTTGCATTTGATCATCGCTAGAGCTCTCTCACATTGAAACTTCTTCAAAAATGTTTTAGTGCATTGTGGTAAATTTTGATTTGGTTTCGTTTGATTTGGTTAGGTTATTGTTTTTATTTTGCTGTTTTAAATACCAAAAGTTCCAACCTCAACTGTTTTTTTATTTAAAAAAACTTATGAGCTCCAACTATGATAACGTAGATGAAGCAAGCATAAAAAAAATAGTTTATTTAATTTAATCTACTGTCTTACTAACCTAGACTATTATAACATTCCTTCAAGAACACGTCCCCTTTCAATGCACTGATTTGTCCCAGTATTCCTTGAGGAAACTCAGTCACCAAGAACAAGATCAACACAGCCAGTAACATTTTCGTAGTCCTGTCCGACTGATTCTCCTTGTACAACTGAATGGTATGACTTTTCGTATTCTTCTCCATAGCTTCCATGTTACACCCCAACAGCTTCAATCTTCTTCTCCTTGTTTCAATCAGGGCAGATATGATTTTGTATGAAAGTACAGTCAGCAATGCACAAGGAACTAATTTGAGAAGTACACTGTAAACCCAGACGCTTAATTTTAAGGGATCATTAGGAGAAAGAAGATAAATTGTGTAGTTATAAAATTCTGAAGAGTTATATTTGTAACTGTCTTTGTTTTCTATTATAATACCCGTTCTATCACATCGTTGTTCGTAGGTTATGATTTTTAAGAAAGGAATCATCGGGCAGCAAACTAAAGAGCAGGCCAAGTAAGTCAGCATGATACAAATAACAGTTGTAGTTTCATCTGAGCAAATTTTGCTGGCCTGTAACCTTGATACAAACACGTACCTCCATATTGCCAGTAAAATAGTGAGACAGCAAGCTATGAAATGGAGAATCAAAGTAAATGAAGCATGGAACTTGTAATATATAGCCCAAGAATAACTAAAATGAGAATAATACAAGGGATTTGGAGGTAGATTTCGGTGAATAGTAAAAGGAATGTACTCCAACATTACTAGGAGGTCTGCTATGGCTAGACCAGTGAGGATATAGTTGGTAGGTGACCTCATATGTTTGGTTCTCAAGACGCAAATGTTGAAAATATTTGCTAGGGATCCGAAAATACAAACTGTGAGACTGAGGTAGCCGTGGATGTGCTTTTGGTAGTGAGTTCTGAAGTCTTCTAAGTCGCAGTAGCTGTAGTTGGTCATTTCGAATGTGGGTGGTAAGGTGTGGTTCATATCAGTATAATCTTCATAACCTGTGAAAGAAAAAATAATTTAAATAAAATGTTTTGCTCATCACTAACTAGCAAAAAATACAAAGAGTTTTGAAAGTTATTTTAGTTATTATATAAAAACTAGTATTACTATAGATAATGTTAAAAATTAGAAGATAATGTATAGGCTATTGCAGAGTCAGTTTCATTATTGAGTTATCAGATGCAGATGAACTTACATGTTAATTTTTTCAACAAATATGTCTAAAATGGAGATATTGCAACTGACTTCATACACTATTATTTATATCTTAGCGCGTCTCTATATTTACTTATCTCTCTGAGATGTATTCTGTGGTTCTTATTTATTTTCAAATGTGTATATCCAAGGGGCAAGTACTGTAAACAAACTTATGATAATGGCATTTTCTTAAATCGATATCCTGTACGAATATTTAGTAGTGTGTTCGAAATCTATACATATATGTATGTATACAGTGGCGTATCCAGGGGGGGGCAAAGGGGGCAATTGCCCCCTCCAGACACGACACGCGGCTGTCCAGTTTATATTTTGCCACTACAAATTCACAAAAACTATAATGCAATTTACCATTATAGATTTTTATTTTTATTTCTTTTTATATTGTTGTATAGGCGTATAATTATAATAGGGAATACTCCTACATCTCCGTATTCATTATATTCTTAATGTCTTAAACTTTATATCGCACTTTGGTATCGCATGATTCAGGCAACCCGCAAAACGGCCATGTGTGTTGTATTGCATACCCTCGGGAATAAGTGGACCAATTTAATTAGAAAAAACAATGCATTGTGCAACAGAGAGAACAAGACATATTTCAAGAAAAGGACAGCCAGGAAGCTTTGATTGCTTGACAGACGGCAAATTCCAGATCCAGCCGCATCCCGATTGCTTGTAATTTAATAGAATTTAGATACTTAGTTAAAATCGAAAATCGTTTTATCCTTTTTTTTTTGTTAAGATGAAAAGGACGGGGCAAAGTAATTTATTAAACTTTCTTAAAAAAGTAAAGGTACAAGATGAAAGTGATTGCATGCCTACTACATCGTCTGCAGCGAAATATGTACAATATGGAAGTGATCCCATGCCTTCTACATCGTCTGCAGCCAATGCTTCACTGGGCATAAACTTGGGCTTGCAGTTAGGGGAGGAACCATCTACATCTTCAACGGAGTCGGAGCTACGCTCAGAAATACAACATCGGTTTCCTGTTAATGACATTAGCAACATTTTATCAAGTAAATTACAACTATTACAAGATGATCAGTGCATAAAAATCATGGACGAGATATGGGTACCGCCGATAAATTTTGGGTTTCCATCGAAAAAAGAAGGTAAATACACGAGAAAATTTAACAGAAAATATTTATATCAGTATAAGTGGTTAGTATATTCTTTAAAAGAAGATGGAGTTTATTGTAAATTTTGTGCATTTTTTTGTAAAAAACAAGTTGGACATACTAGTGGTCAACAGGTAGGCATGCTTTGTTCTGAGCCTTATCGGAAATGGAAAAAATGTTCTGAAAAGTTAAGTCTTCATGACAAGGCTGAATACCACAAAAAATCGGTTTTAGATTATTTCAATCGAAAACAAATGTTAGAAAATAGGCAAAACTCAGTAGAACAATTAGTGTTTTCTAGTCGCCAAAAACAGGCGCAAGAAAATAGGTTAAAATTATCACCTATTATAAAAACTGTTATATTTTGCGGTCGAAATGGTCTTCCATTAAGAGGGCATCGAGATTCTGGACCATTAGACTTAGATGCATTATCTTCTTGCACGCCTGGTGAAGGTATATTTCGGGCATTGTTAAAATTTCGAATCGAGGCCGGGGATGAGGTATTAAAAAACCACTTGTTAAACTGTGCGAAGAACGCAACGTACTTGAGCAGCCTAATACAAAACGAAATAATAAATGCATGTAATTCTATTGTTCTACAAAAAATATTAGCTGAAGTTAAAACTGCAACATTTTTTTCGATTTTGGCTGATGAGACCACTGATGTGGCCAAAATTGAACAATTTTCTCTTTGCGTTCGTTACGTTAATTATAATAAGACCATTAAAGAGTCGTTTCTACAATTTATTCCAGTAACTTCAACTACCGGGAACAATTTAGCGAACATAATTATCGAAAATTTGACAAAGTGGGGCTTAGATTTAAATAATCTTAAAGGCCAAGGCTATGATGGGGCAGCGGCAATGAGTGGTCAATTTTCCGGGGTACAAGCTATTATTCGAAACCAGTATCCCACAGCTTTGTACGTACATTGTGTGTCACACTCACTTAACCTTGCTATATCTGATGCAAGCTCAGTTCCGGCCGTACGAAACTGCATGGGTGTTATTGAAAACGCGTACAATTTTTTTAATACTCCCAAACGTCAAAATGTTTTAACTATTAAGGTAAATGAGTTGCCGGATAATGAAAAATCAAGACGAGATAGACTGAAACAACTTTGTCCTACTAGATGGGTTCAAAGACAAGACTCCGTAACCATAATGAAAGAGCTTTTGAATCCCGTAGTATTGGCGCTAGAGGAAATAGCAGAGTGGCCAGAAAAAGAAACTTCGAGTGGGGCAAAGTTGTTGTTAAATACTTTAAGTACATCAGAATTTCTCATTGCGCTTTTTGTTACTGAATTTATTTTTGCCTTTACTACTCCTTTATCAAAAAAGCTGCAGTCAGTTAACATTGATTTATGTAAGGCAATATTACTGACCGAAAATTGTTTAAAAGAACTTAAAAATATACGAAACAATAATGTAAATACCAGCTTCGCAGATATTTTTACAGAAGCAAACAGAAACATGAACGAATTGTTTGGACAGGAAATTAAAAAACCCCGACAATAACTAGTAGACAAAAAAACAGGCCGAATATTAAAACTGAAACTGCTCAAGATTATTACAGATTATCAATCTTTATTCCTTTTTTAGATCACGTAGTATTACATTTGGAAGAACGATTTGTTAAACACAAAGACATACTACGGTCATTTAGCTCTCTTATTCCTTCCTTAAATAAAAAACCCGATTATGAAGTATCAAATCTAAAATATATGCTAGATTTTTTATAAAAACGACTTAGAAAACTCTTCATTTTCTGTATTTTCGGCTGAATTTAAGCTCTGGCATAGAATATTTGAAGACTATGCACCAGAAGACTACCCAAGTTCCGCAATTGATGCCCTGGTAATATGTGATCAAGAACTATTTCCTAACATATTTATTTTACTAAAAAAATTTTGCACTTTACCCGTTAGTACGGCAACACCTGAAAGGAAATTTTCAACCCTAAAATTGTTAAAGTCCTACCTACGTAACACTGTAAGTGAGGACAGACTAAATGGCTTGTCCCTTTTGTATATGTATCCAGAAATATCTGTTAGTACAGAAGAGGTACTTAATGAAATGCAGGCAAACCAGAAAGCTGGATATTGTTATTTAATTTTATTTGTATATGTGCTTTTTCTTTATTCACTTGGCCTTTTGTTTATTTCTTTAATTTTCGGTTAATTTTTGTGTTAATGATTATTTTTTGTTGTTTTGTGATGTAATGTTACTTATTAAACCATTTTCCTAAGAAAAATATATTTTTTATTTATTTATACCTACTATTTACCATAGTACCCAGCTGTAATTAGGTAGGTACTTACTTGTTAATGTAAAAAAAATATATATTTAGGTATAATATTAAAAATTTATTGCCCCCCCCAGGCATGAATCCTGGATACGCCACTGTATGTATACACACATTCAAGCTTTTATTATCAACGAGCAACGTCATTTGCCTTGTAGAGAAAATAAATAATAAAAAATCTATATACGAGCGAGTCGTTCACCGCTTAAAATAATTAAACAACTATTCACGACCTGGAAATTTATCTTTTAACAGTTCAAAAGAAAATTGTTATCTACGCTAGGCTTAAAGCGCGTGCTCACAAATCGGTTTTAGTTGATCAACTTAAGTTGATCAACTTATTAAAGACGATGATCGTTAAAAGTATCTACAGAAGTGTCTAGTCCTAGCAGTCAACTATTAAGCTTGACCAATCAGGTTGGTTAGCGTGGTTATTTGGAGTGTGTTAATTCATTTGCGTTTGTCAAAAACTCTAACGTGATTGGTTGGGCTTAACAGTTGCCTGCTAGGGCTAGACACAAGTAGCATGGTACAAAGAATACAAGGTATGATATTGCGCAGGTTGGTCGCTACGTCACAGGTGATAACAGGCGCTATTGGTCAGCACGCTCCGCGCGCCAGTTCAAATCGTCAAGATATTGTTATAAACCTGTTTTTTTGTTTATATACCGTCATTGAATTATCGCTAAGCAAGTTACTGTGGAGCAGTGCGTAAGGAGTTGGGCTAGGAAGCGAGAGACCGGAGTTCGAATCTCGGCCGGGACATAACTTTTTATTTATTTTTTTAAATACTGTTGTATTCTATAGTTTATTTTTGTAGTATAAAAAAAGAACTATTTATTCTGTTATTTTTTCATCTCCGGTATTAATATAAATTGACTGTTGGTACAATACCTCATTTAATATAAAATAATATTCTACTTTTTGAAATGTATCAGGCCCTAATTGTACCTAAAAGTAATATATTTTTAATGATATACCATATTGTAAACTATTTAATATTTCAGTCACTTAAAAAGTTAATTTGCATTGAATAATTGCCTACCATTAAAGGAAATTTGAGCTATATAATCCTTGATGGGCATATTCTGGGTATGCAAATACTTTCTCTAAATTTTGGGTTTCGTTCAACCGATTTATTCTCAAAACCTGAAACATCTACATATAAAAAGAAGCAGAGGTCACTAATTATAATAAACTTCACCCTTGGAATTACTTCCACTAATTATAATAAACTTCACCCTTGGAATTACTTCTATCACAATTACAATACATTTATCTGAATTGGCATTTTCTACTTTTCGATGGGAAACAATAAAATTCCCAACATTTTTTAAATGATGTAACAATTCCTC